TACAAATATTTTCACAGATGTATATACATAGAAATATTTACATACATTAATATATATGAGAATTTTTGTATTTATTCAAATTGAAAAATTAATATTATACAATTAACATGGTTTTTTCTTAATTAAATATAATTTTTTAATGTTATTTACTCTATACAGATGTACAGAATATCACAAAAAAAAACAATTAATTTATTAAAGAAAATACCCTGCGAGGGCACATCTAATTTCAATTAAGTTTTGTATGAGTTTAAAAATTTTTTCAAGTAGATTTTTAATTGAATTTTATAAGGGAATGTGACTATTAATTTCATTTTGTCCTTTAGCTTGTCTATTCAGTATTTTTAAAACTTTATTGCATTTATAATGAAAATTATAGAACGAAATTTTCAATATTGCAGATTTGAATTATTATATAATAAATATACAAATATCAAAAATATTATATTTATAAGTATATCAAAATTATATGAAATTTACGACATAAATTTATAAATTTTTAGTTCAATTTAATTTCACATTCGAAAAATGAAATATTTGGGCTTGAATTTGAAATTTTTAATGTTTTGCTAATTAAAAACTTCTTATATAGAGATTTCAGCCCAAAGTTTTCAGATCTTTCATACTATTTTGACACATATGCAACTTTAGTTTCAAAGCAATTCTATTATAAACATTTGAAATTTTTAATTTAATTCTAAGAAAATACAATGCGCTTAAGACGAATAATATAAAATTATATCCTTGGCTTGGTATTCCAAATCAAACATATTCTATATAAATTTGATAAAGCACACAAATTTCATTAAAATGTTGCTTTATGCTATAGAAATTGAAGTGTAATTAACTTAAAACTTTCATCTTGCTGCACATTTTTTTCACCATTCTTAGTTCTGAACAGTGCTACAATGTGCATTATAAAATAAAATAAAGTTGGGTCAAACCAATGGTTTGTATTGTAGCACTTTTCCCTTCAACAAGTGAAAATTCTGCTTTTAAATACAGTCTATGTATACCTATCACACTATTAAAATTATTTTCATTCATATACAAAACTCTTTCTAGGATTGCATATTTTTGGGATGACCGATTTATGCAGTCTTTGAAATAAAGCAAAAATTAATATAAAAAGGGGTTAACATAATGCTCGATTTTAAGGGTTAATTGTGTGAGTTAAGGAAAATAATTATATTTTTTAATGTCATGGAATTTACCGTTAGCTTTTTGCGTTTATAGAAATTTGAAAAAAAGTGCGATTTCGGAAATATAAGGTGTCAAAAATTCAAATTTTACAATTTTCAAGGGGCGTTAACTTGAGAGGGGGTGGAGATGGAAAAAAATTTTCTTCTAACGAAATGAACTATTTGTTAATGTCTAAAAGTCCCTAAAATTTCAAGCTACTACAAGCTGGGGTCTAGAAGAAAAACGACATCAAAAATTTGGAAAAAAAGAACTTTAGATAACGGTAAATTTGAACGGTCATTTTGTTTTTCTAAAGTTTAACTGTAGTATACCGCGCTAGGGAAAGCAAGCCGCTGCCTTTCTGCGTTTGCAAAATTTCAAAAATGCTTATGGTTTCATTGCAACAAATAGTTAAAAAAGGCCATTTTTAAGGTTTTGGGGGGGTATAACTTCTAGAGGGGGGGAGATAGGTAAAAATTTTGTTCTACGGAAGTAAGTTTCTAGTAAAGATCTATGTACATATAAAATTTCAGCTTTCTATCTTCAAGGGTGTAGAAGTTTTGTAAACAAAAAAAGTGTCCACGGACGGACGGACGGACGGACAGAGTGAAACTAATAAGCACTTTTTTTAAAAATTTTTTTGGAAAAGTGCTAATTATATAAACTGAGCTTAAAAAAACTTGTTGCTCTTTATATCCCTTTAAATTTTATTTGCACACAATTTTCCAACCATATCCTACTTTGTATACATTGTCTATAAAATTACTGAATAAGAATACTTGAATAACTTTACAATATTAATGAACTAAAAGAATCCTTTTGAAACACACCATTGTTTTAAATTGTTTCAAATAAATAAAAAAAAAAAAAGAAAATTATTTTCTTTTTCATTCTTTTTACTATTTAAAATGGACAATACAAAGAATTTTTGCTTTATATGGAAGTAGTTCAAAACAAATAACTGTTGCGTCTTATATGAAATAAAGGTTAATGTAAAAACTTTCCAACAATTTCCTTGCATCACGGATACTTATAAAATGAATTAAATTAAATTTAAATGGAATTTCAACAAGAAATATAAAATGTTACTTCATCATCTTTGGATTCAAATCAAAGTCGTAGTTTATTTGTGAATAAATTCGACCAAAATTTAATAACTGAATAAATTATGTTCGTTCGACCTCTACAAATATATTCCAGTGGTTTCAAGGAAAAATTTTACTGATCTGAATTCTTGTGATTCGATTTAATTCCATCTTTGAACTTAATTAAATAAAAAAAAAATCATAAGTGAAATTAAATGAGTCATCTGTCAAAGTTTGACATATAACTGTAAAGAATTGAAATTCAAATACACTTAAAGAAAAATTTTTAAAGATCAAATAAAAAAATTCTTGATTTTAGTTTGACGTTAAGTTTAAAATTCTCTAGGTTTTTGTGTGCTCTTTCAGAGCCAAATAAAATATTTTAATGAAATTTTGGTAGAAAGCTCTAAAGAATTTGAGTTTGAATTAAAATTAAGAGGGGCTAATCTGTATTTGTTGCAAATTTATGAATTTTTAATTGAATATATTGGTGTTAGAATAATAAATTTTCATATTGATTGCTACTTATATAAATTTTACATGTGAAACAAGAAATTCTTTAAATTTTAGTCAAACAAATGGAATATTATTTGAAAAGGATAACCAAATTTAAATGATTAAAGAAAATTATTATTAATAATTTGTTGTCAACTCGGCCGGAAAACTTGAAATATTTTTTTTTCATTCCCTTTACTGAATACATAATAGGGGAAACCATAAAATGCCTTTTTACTTCCTTTCTCGCTTTTTCAATTTTGTTTTTTTTTTTTTCAATTGTTGGTTTCTTCTCATTTTTATTTTTCACTATTCAAAGAATTTATTACATTTAATTTACTTTGTGTTATTATTAAAATGAATTTGCGTTTTCCATCTTATAAATAAATATATTACATAAACAATATATGTGAGTACATTAACATAAACGCATACAATAACAATATATGCATATAAAATATAGTACTACAAGCATATGTAAATGATATTGTATGGAATTTTCTCTAAATGATATTGCACATATACATATGCATATAACTAAATATATATGTATGTAATATTAATATTTTCTAAGAAATATCCTTGAACTTCTGTGTGTCCTGGAAATTACATTTATTTATTTCCGTTTTTAGTTTGCCTTTTTACCGACCGTATTGTGTAAACAATAGGTAGGTTATGTGATGGCAACAAATTTTGCATATCGAGTTTTCGGTGGGAACGTACTTCTCCATAGTAGGGAAGTGTAAATAAACTATTTTTAGCAACCTGTCGGTCTGTCGGTCTGTCGGTCTGTCGGTCTGTCGGTCTGTCGGTCTGTCCGTCTGTCGGTCTGTGTGTGCACGCGTGTATCTCAAGTTCGGCTGAACCGATTTTGATGAAATTTTATATGTAAGTTTGTTTCCACCATGGCACGGATCGATCAACTTTTGGTATATATCAGGCCTCGGGAACTGCACTTTTTAGCGGGCCTGTTTTACATTTTTGAACATTTTGAAGAAAGTATTCAACCGATTTACTTGAAATTTTATATATAAGCTCAGCTCGACCGTCCGCAAAAATTCGTATGTTTTGGAAGAAATCAGGCATCGGCAACTAGACGTTTACTACGGGCCAAATATACATTTTTGTGTATATAAAGAGAAATAATCAACCGATTTCATTGAAATTTAATATATGAACTCCTCGTATTAAAACAATGAACATATAAATTTTTTGGAAAGATCAGGGCTCGAAAACGGATTTGCGGGCCGATTTTACATTTTTCACCATTTTGAAGAAAGTATTCAACCGATTTACTTGAAATTTCATATATAAGCTTTGCTCGATCATACGCAAAAATTCCTAACTTTTGGAAGAAATCAGGCATCAGCAACTGGGCGTTTACTACGGGCCAAATATACATTTTTGTGTATATAAAGAGAAATAATCAACCGATTTCATTGAAATTTAATATATGAATTCCCCGTATTAAAACAATGAACATGTAAATTTTTTGGAAAGATCAGGCATCGGCAACTAGACGTTTACTACGGGCCAAACATACACTTTTGTGTATATAAAGAGAAATAATCAACCGATTTCATTGAAATTTAATATATGAATTCCTCATATTAAAGCAATGAACATATAACTTTTTTGGAAAGATCAGGGCTCGAGAACTGATTTGCGGGCCGATTTTACATTTTTCACCATATCCACAGAACAAATTGATGGAATTTCTTGAAATTTAATATTTGAGTTCCGGTTGTTACCCAAACTAACTGGCGAGCATTTCAGGGAATTCGGGTAGCACAAAGCGAAACTCTACTAAGAGCCAAATTTACATTTTTCTAAGTATGTTAACTATAAGCTTACTAATGTCCTAAAAATTGGAAAGAAGTATTTAAAAGACATTTTTATAATATTCTGTAACACTTTCATTTAACTAGACAATACACAATGCGGTCGGTTATGTGCTGACCACATCAGATTTTTTTCTTTTGCTTTTCAATCCTGTACTCTTCCTTCATTTTTGTAATGTTATACAAAATTAATGTATAACACTTTGTAGTTTCTGTATATTCGAGAATTATGTACATACGCTTATGTTCATATTTTCCTTTATTAAAACATTTTATATATAAGTATGTATGTTTTGGAACATATATTTATATACATTTACATTATTATATCCTAATTGTTCTAATTATCTTGTTTTATTCAATTTCTTTTATTTTCATTTTTTTATTTTCATTACAGTTTATATACACAAAGAATTTACACCATTAAGAGCACTCTGCGAGAACTACAAAAATAACAGAAAAATATAAAAAGAAACAACAATATATATATAAGAGACAAAAATAGTAGAGAAAGCGCCATCTGAAATCATCTGACAAGAACGACATTATTATCCATTAGAATATAATAATATATACGTTACACACACATTATATACAAAAAAGAAATATATATTCAAAAAATAAACATTATGAAGAACGGTTTTGTCACAGATGTTTTCTATTTCCGGTTCAACGAGAACAAAACTAAACAAAAACAGAAAAAACATTTAACATTTACTGTTTTTACCACTTTAATATTCACAATAGCAATAGCTACTTTATTACCAATAGTTTACAGTATGCCAGATAATGAAATTGAATTGCCCAAGGATATTAGTAATGATTTTAAAAATGGAGTAAGTTTTTAATATTTTATTTATTTTTGTGAATAAAATAAATGAACGCATATTATGGCAAAGCAAAAATAAAGCATATACAATTAAATATTGAATTTTCATATTAATTTTTTTATTTTATTTTCATTGTAATTAATTTTCTGTTTTAGCTTGTAAAAGCGGACAACTTTTTAACAACTGGTTTCATACATGATAATAAAAATTATAATAATGATGACAATAATACTAAACACATTCATCGTAGAAAAGGAGGTTTGTATAATTTTCATTAATTTTTATAAGCACATTTTGGATCTCTTTTCTATGTCAAATAATTGGAATTAAGTGCAATTCTAAAAATTTCTCCGATAGTAAAATATTTTTCTAAAATTTGGTACATTTTTCTTTATTAGTGTACAATTTAGTACACAGATCTGTATTATAATTTTGTTGTGTTTTATACCGTATATTCTTCTGTATTATTATTTTTTCCAATTTTCGAGAATTTTTCTTGCTCAGGCCATAAAACCAAAGAAAAATAAGGTTCAAAGTAATCATCATATGGGTTTAATTTTCCTTAGCTTTTCCTTGGTAATTACTTCGTAAAAAATTTTTCAAACTGTGTACTTACTACCTTTTAACTATAGCGGTATATTTGTATAAAAAGAAAATAATTGAACTTTTCTGAAAATTCGTAGTCGAACTAGTTTCAAAATTTATAGTACATTTATTTTAGCGTAAGTTCATTAAAGGAACTGAGAAAACACTGAATATCATTTGGCATGTTCCTATGTACAAACTTCTCACACAAATTGTACTAACCAGTACAAAATCTCATTCGAATAAAAATTTCCTAATAAATACCGCAAATAGCATAAAATGTAGCAGTTTTCTGAAATTCGATGTAAATACACTGAAAGAAAAAATTTCTTCATGGCGAACTTAGTGTAACATTTACATATTTATAAATGTTTTACTTGGTATAACATTTTCTTATAGTTTTAATTTTTCTTAATTTATTAGAAAAATTTTTCGTAATTTGTGGTTTTTTACATAACTTTAAGTGTAAACGACCATTAACAGTTTCTTTATTTTTTCACTAATTTAATAGAATATTTTCTTTCTTTGTTCAATTAAAAAATTAATTTTAAATACATACATAATTTAATTTTTAAAGTTGGTGTTTATAATGAGAATTTAATATTACATAACATTGTGTTTACACGAATTTCCATTAATATAATGTAAATTTTATCTGCATTCTTCATGTAATTAATTATCTGTTACGTAAATACATACACGTATATAATTGCATTTAATTACATTATTTTAATAGAACTGCGTGTTTTATTTCTGTTTGTTTGTACTAGTAACGTACATGAAATACCATTAATTTACATATCTAAAAACAGCCTTAATATAAGAATTTCAAAGATTCATTTAATTAGAATTCGATTACTTTAATTTAAATAAATTCGATAACTGATGTTAGCATGCTGGAACTTTGTGGAATCAAATTTTCGAAAATATTTTTATAAATAATAGAATTTTCAAGAGGTCCTATTACAACAATCACTTCCAATCAAATTATAAAAAAAGTCATTTTTATTAGTAAAAATTATAATGGTTTTGACTCTTAGTGATAACTTTTTTAAAATTGGTTCAATACGATCCTATTGAATTACAAAATTTCCACATAAAAATTGATATATATTTTTCAAGTCTGCTATAATTTTCGGTATAGTGTAGTAAACTTACAAAATTTCCGTTTATCAAGAAATCAGTAACGTCCTTAACTTGCCAAGTAGCCTTACTCAGCTCCGACTATTGTTATTTTATTTTAATAACTTTTTTTATAACTGCATTAGCTATTGATTCTTGGCATCAATACGATATTAATTAATTCTTTCATTTTAAACAAAAAAATTAAAAATATTCCCAATTCTTTCTCTTATAAATAGGTAAACATCATCATAAGAAACTACATTCAAAAAAGGCTACAAAAGTTGAATACAAAGAAGAACACAATAATAATTCCAATATAAATCAATCACCTCGGAAATATAAATATGTTGAACAAAGTGGAAATAAATTTGATTATTATCCAATTGAACCAGTCAATATAAGCTATGATCCAAAAGAAGATGAAAAGATTAGATTCGTTTTAATAACTGGTAATGATGATGAGAAAAAAATTACAAATGAAAATAAGAAAAAACGTAGAAGACATAAACGTGATGTGTCTGATTTCAATGAAAAAACCTTAAGAACAAAACGTAATCCTATATTACCTTTGGTTATACTTAATCCTCTCAATCATATAGCAACAGTAGATGACATAAATAATAAAATTAATGAAGTCCCATCAATAAAGTATGTTTATCGAATTTTGATTATTTATTGTTGTTCTTTTTTAATATTTTATTTTTGCTTTTATTATATTTTAAAGATACGCTATTCCTGGCTTATATTACAATGCTATTACACCACAAAAACCCAGAGAACCTACATTTACTAGTACACGAATTATTGATGGACCTGTTTGGGATAGAAGACCAATAAAGAGGATACATGATAAAGATGTACGAACTGATGGTTCAAGTTGTAAGTATATTTGAGAAAATTTTTTATGAAATTGTCGCAACATACATATTTGTCATGCGTTATTTAGTGTAATGCTATGCTTATGTATTAAATTTTTTTTTATTTTACAATTTTAGCACCAAATTCAATTAATCCTGGATTTTCGCCACCCGGCATTTTAGGTGAGTTTTCCAAATTTAGAATTTCATACACAAAATTTAAAATTTCAAGAAATGAGCATGAAATATTTTAACCCATTTTCGTTGTTTTATTTGAAACATTTATTTACGTTCTAATTTACATTTTCATGCATACAATCATAGTTTTGGCATTTTATAGTTTTCTAATTTTGATAGTCTTAAAATACAGACTCTAATAAATTATTTTCAATAATTCTAAATGCATTAATATTAACGCATTTAGAAACATCTTCAAAATTAGATTAACCAAAATTATTTCAAATTTTGTAATACTAAACAAATTATTTGCAACAAAACTTCTACAATGCGGTCCAATTTTCATAAGGGGAGGGAGGTGGTGCAGATATACTCGTTTTCGAACAATAGCCTATTGAAAAAAAAGTTACCAGATTTTTCTTGCATATAAATAAAAGCTTATAACTTTGAAACCATGCATCATAGAGAACATATTGGGGGCTTATTTACAGACAATTGATTGCTCTTTGTTTTCGGCCTGAATATCAATTTCATTTGAGCCATAGAAAAACTCGTCAAAGTCAGAGTTTTTGTTTTTTTTCTTAGAAATTTTTTTTTGTAAAATACTCGAAATTTTTCTAAAATTTTTGTTAACATTTTTTTTTCTTCTGTTTTTTTGATGCGCTACAATTAGATCTAAAAAGTAACGCTTATAACATTTTTCTCTACCTCTGATAGTTTTGACAATACGTGTCAGATGTGTTCAAAAATTATGCAAAAAATGTAAATTTTATAAAAACCGTTCAAATTGTGCGTTACACAGGCAACCATAAAAAATTATACAATAACCTTATTACAAACTCATTATTCTTAAATTTAAAAATAACCTTTAGTAAGCAAGAAGTTAGTTCCTCAGTTTCACGAAAAAAAAATAATAAAAGCTAGTCATTTTAAATAAATTAAAAACCGTTTTATTTTCCGTTATTTCTTATTTTTATTGCAGTGCCAATCAAAAACCCGAATACACCGTCACAATCAAGTACTTCTGTAGGAACAGGTATGTCAAAAGAAAATGAAAGGAGTGTAAAAACAATTTTCAATGTTTGTAAAAATTTCAAAATAAAAAAAAATAAATTCCAAAATTTAATTAATTTGAAATTAATTGAAAAATTAAAAACTTTTTCAATTACATAAAAATTATTAATCAATTTGTTTTTGTTCTTATGTGTATTTGCATGCAAATTTTAATTTACAATATCACCGCTTTTGTTTTGTCACAACATTTGCTGCTTTAATAAATCATAACATCCTACGCGAAATAATTAAAATTAATTTATTTGCAGAAATTACAAAAAAAAAAATGAAGCAAATTTAATCCATTAACATTTTATTTTTTGCTTGTGTTTTTTTATTTTTTACATTCCTTTCACAATTTTTTTATTTTATTTTCACTTATGTAATTCTCCACAATTTTTTATGCATTATTTATTTTTTTTTTTTTTGTAGGTGCCCCACCAGCTGTTGCACAAAATGAAAACACTGGTCCATCAAATTGTATTTGGGCCATAGTTAATTGCTGTTCAAAGAGTAATACAACAATACGTTATGGATGTTTTGAACAAATTGGTTGTGTTGGTGCATTTTGGGATTTTAACCCTTGTGGTGATAATTGGCAACGAAAAGCTGTAGAAGAAGCTGAAAAATTCTTTGATGAAGATGATACAGATTATTAGCTATTAGATTTAAAATTAATTAATTACGATTTGAATAATTTTTTTTTTCCTGTGTAAATTATAATGAAAACTATTTTTAAGCTTTTGCTTTAAACTTATTTGAAATAAGATTAATAATAAACGAAATAGATATGTGTATACATAATCTGTATGTATGTATAATTATACAAGAATCTTGTAAATTAAAATGAATTTATTTTTTTTTTGGGATCCGACACCAAATACTTATGTCACTTTTAAGATTTTTCTTCATTTTTGATTTTTTGTTGATCAAAATTTTTAAAAACTCATAAATATTTCAAATACATATTTTAATGTAAATATCATAATGTTTTTTATATAAAAAATATATTTATTGATAGAAAAGTGATTTCTTTGAAATTTATTAAAAAATTAAGGTATAAACAAAGTTTTCAAAAAATGCTTATTAATTATAAGCTTTTTAACCGACCGCGTTGCATACAATTAGGGAGTTTATGTGTTAGACTAAAATTTTGCATGTTGATTTTCTATGGAAACGCACATTTTTGTCGAGCAGAATAAACAAACTATTTTTAGTAAACTGTGTGTTTGCGTGTGAACGCAGAATTGGATATAGTGAGCATTTACTAAAAGCCAAATATGCAATTTTCTAGGTATCTTGACTAAAAGTTTACTAGCGTCTTTAAATTTGAAAAACATGTTCATAATTTTGTGCAACGCTTCTGTTAAACTAGACAATCACACAATCAAATCACACAATCTGTCACCCAATCTGTCAAATAAAGCGTTTATCACAATAATATGAATATCTATCAAGAAACTGAAATATAATCAAAAAATTTTTTAAAAAGTCGAACCATAAATATTATAAAATTTTTTGAAATTTTTAACAGCTGAAATTGTCATTTGATTTAAACTACTACTTGTCTAAATTGTCAATGTTACTTTTCAAGCATAATAGCTTCAACGACAATACAATCTTATTTAAAGATAACATTTGCCAAATTACTTTAAAATCATACAATTTTAATGGTTTCATTCAAAACATGAGTTTGAGTAATTGGATGGTAATTATTAAGTCATCAATCAATTTATAAGACATCATTAATGAAAATTTTTATTATAATTAATTTTGCATTTCTTTCTAATTAAATTTTAATTATCTTCTATTATGTAACAAACATATGACGTTTAATTATTCAATTCGCAATGATTATTTGCTCAACAGTATTCTAATTCAATTATATTAATATAGTATGTGTGTAAATGTAAAAATAATATGACACATACCGACATACGCATAATTGCAATATAATTATAAATCTCATAATTGGAATTAATGCAAGTTCACAATACAAAAGTTTTTTATAAAATTTTTGCGAAAAATAATTGTAAATATAAATTTACCTTTTTAAGGCATCTATTGAATTGCAAAAGAATGGGGTATCCAGCCATACTTTTTGCAATTTAATCAATACCACAAAGTTTCTGTTTCGAAATTATTTTTGGGGATCTAGTTTCATAAAAAATTTTGTTTGCATCCGGTGGTCATGCAATAGTTATGTAAAAATAAAATAAACGTTTAATTCTAATATTTCGAGTAAAATCTGCGTGCTAAAGTGGTTTGCAGCTGGACCCTTTTGGATTGGCCGTCCAACATTTCCATTGAAAATTTGCAGTGTTTCTGTATTTTTCTTCCAATTTAAAAACCAAAATCATTGCATTGCAAACAACGTAATGAAAATTGTTCTTCTTCAGGAAGCAAAAAAACATTTTGCAACGCATATGACATTGACATTTTTGAAATTTGGAAAAGAAACAACTGTATAAAAAATATAATGGAAGCTTGACTATTAAGTAAAAACAAAAAACCGCATAGATTTCACATTTCATTGAGTCAAAAAAATATTCAAATAAATTTAAAAAAAATGTCTTTTAAAAAACCTTGGCACATTTCACCATTTTAATTAACATTCGTACTGATTTCATTTTGTTCCATCTTAATTTCAAATAAAAATTTATAAACTTTATACAATAGGGCTGGAATTTCTCGTATATTCTAATAGAATCACCTTACTTTTACAACCTCACTTCCAGTTATTACGGTTATGGTTCCTGCCAAATCAAGAATTAATAAATTGGTAAATAACTAGTAAAATATCAATATTTACTTTCCATAATAAATTATAAGCGAAGGTTGTGAAAGTTTGAAATGTCAACAAATCATTGCACTGTTACTAGTAACCTGATTCCAAAAACTTTATCTTAAAAACATTTTTTTTATCCTACTTCGCTCTTGGGAGGAGCATAGGCTTAATACATAGTATTGTAGATAACCATGAATCAGTTTCTGGTGTCATTGAGTTTACCAGACATGTGACGGGCCTATCGTAAAAATAAATTAGTGCTACAATAACATAATAAACACATGATAAGGAGAGTATACTAAAAATAAACTAAATAGATAATTAAATATATAGACTAAAATTACTCAAGAGATTTAAATTTAGAGCTTGGAAATTTAAATTTTCATTTACAGAAGATTTGAAATGAGGATTCAAAAATGAGGAAGTGTTAAAACAAATTCATATTAAAGTGACTATAATCTAAATGATCATACATTTATTCCAAGCATTCTACAGCATTATTTCGAAATCGAATACAATATTTACTTATAATTTCCAAATCGTCTAATGTAAACGAAATGTTTAAGGGTCCATGAAACTCTAGAGGCATAGACGATATAGCCGTACAGGTATGAAAGTAAATTTACATAATATATATTATATATTTAAGATTTTTTATTTTTATGAAAAGAAAAGGTTTCCGAAGAAAAATTAAAGAAAAAAGCCGTTATCACGTTTTATTAGACTTTTTGGAAAGAAATTAAAAAAATCAAAAATATTCTCAAAAATAAACAATTTATTTTAAAGTAGAGAAAAGTGAACGCCTTTTATAATACCCTCCTCAAGGCACATACATCTATATGTATATTCATCTTTAAGTGTACACAACCCTTATGCTAAATGCGATTAAAGGTAGCAGAAAATAAAATATCCTTTTTATTTTCAAAATGGGCTGCGAAAAAAAAAGAACATTAAATTTAATTTCAGACGAAATTTTTAAGAAAAAGTTTAAAAGTTAATTTTGATTGGAGCGAAATAATCATTAGAAAAAATATTCTAAAATCGTTATGGCTCTTTTTTCTTTTGACTTTGTTAAATATTTTTGTACTTTTCGAATAATTAAAGATATTTTGCATTAAATTATATAGATACTTCTTTTGAAATTGCTTACTCTACGTTCCAAGCAGTTATCCTGATTGAATATACAAAAATGTAAGCCTTTTAGTTAAACATAAATTAACTTCTAACGAAGTAGATTCTAGTTAAAAACCAAGCAGTTCAACAAAAAAATACAAAATGTATAATTAAATTTGAAATTTTAATAAGTAATGTTAAATTTAAATTTAAATTATTGTAAAATTTCAGCAAAAATTGCATTAAATCTTTATAATCAATTCAAATATTACGCTAGATTTCTCATTTTTCTTTAATCATCTAAAATTTTGCGATTTATCTCATTTTGCACTTAGTTTTATATTTTATGGATTCAATTGTATGAAATGGGACTAGTTTTATAAAGTTTAAACTGCACTTTATAAAATTACAAATGTAATGTTTTGTGTTCTTAAGGAAAATTTTGAAAATTAAAATTCGTGAATTATTCCACGGATTGAATTCAAATATTCTAATATAAATTAGTGTTTAAAACAAGTTGTGAGACATTTTTCAGTATTGGTTCTTAAAAAGTTATTTAGATTAAGCGGATCTTATTTGTTCAGTAAAATCTCGTTTAACTGGAAATCATAAACTACTAAAATTATAAAAACAAAATTTACAAAATATAAAAGATGTATAAATACTTTATGTGATTAACGAATAAATAATTAAATTTATCTTAATTTTATGCCTAAATATTATATTTTATATGTATTTGAATCAGGCTCATACAAATCGTAAAAAAAAAAAAATTACCCCTAAAAGTATGCAAAATAGAAAATTTGTGTGTAATTAAAAAATACTGTTTTTTATAATTTATTTGGTACAAATCCAGCTAATAATTTTGCAAATAATTATCACTGTTCGATAACTTGAATTATATTAAGTATTTAAAATTTATAATATTTTTGCAAAATTTGAAAAAAAATTTCTTAAAAATTTTATACATGGACCTTTAGGGAGTAGTTATATAAATTACATAACTTAAGAAAACATCAAATAGAACATATTACCAAATTTATTTGTATTTAAAATTTTCAATTATATAAAACATGGTATATTTCCATTGAAATTTTATTTTATTGAAAAAATTAAAAGTAAACACATAGGTCCAATAAACTTCTAATTAAAACGCCTTTAGCAAGCTCTTACGTAAACTAACACAATATAATTGAAACAAGTGAATCAGCTCTTTGAAATTCAATAAATTTATTTTCCCAAATAACCAAATAACAAGAGAATAAATGGAAAATATACTTTATAGATTCTTATAGGCTATACCAAATGAAAAAAGGACAATTTATAGCTATAGTGTAACGACTTAAAAATTCCCTTAACAATTGTATTTTTTATGTTAACCGTAGTTATTTATTGTTTTGTTTGAATGAAAAATATACAAAAAGAAAAAAGTCCTTATTTTCTTCATAAAATTTTCTTTCTGTTTAGTCATTCCACTCAAATAATTTCAATTTAGAATTTCGGTTTGGTTTTTATTTCTTCTTCGATTTTTTTTTTTTTTTTGGTATTTTCTTCGCGTAAAAGAAAATAAAATATGCATGAAACATGTACAAATAAGAAATTAAAAAGTTATTTTTTTAAATTTTCCAAATATGAGAACACAAAATAAATGAAAAAAAAAAACATATTTTATTTTCCAAGAAGAAAGCAATAACGTGTACAAAAGTTCGTAACCTTTAAAAATTCCTAATTGAATTTCATTTCATTTTTGTTTCGAAAAGAAAATAAAAAAAGACACCAAGAGAAACAACAGCAAAGAATTAAATTTTTAATATCAATAAATTTTGAAAAATAATTTTTATTGCTTTTAAAGAAACCATTTTTATTTCCATATTATTTATTTGGGTAAATATTATAAATTTTATACGAGTACAACAAATATATTTTTTCAAACATCTAAATTAAATCAGATTCATGAATCAATGTGTCCTTCAGGATTCTCCTACAATTATGCAATAGTTAAAGTAT